GAAACGCATCGCAATACGCACCACGCAAAGTAGTGGTCTCAAGGGAATCGCGGGCGAGGGGGGAGAGACACAACCAAGAGGGCTTCTCACCAGGGCCAATGTAATGCGTTAGACGGCGACCCAACCATACCTGGAAGATCTCGTTCAATCTGCAACATCTCGAAAACTGGTCCATCGAATCAAGGTCGGAGTCAGGCGAGCAGGGCCGGCAACCAACTCAACAACCTGTAGACTGAGTACGAAACCAGGCGGGCGCGTTGGAAGAAATGGTGGGCAGGCCGACAGGGGCGACAACAGTGTACATAGATGCGGTTTATGCCAATTTCCTCACCATTTCACATCATGTCAAGACATGGCTGCTACCAACCTCGGGCGTGAAGTACCTGGTGCGTCAAGAAAGGATGCGGTGTGAATATTCAACGGGGGCATGCTCGCGGATGGGAGCGCGCAGCTTGGATTGCAGGGTCGTGCCTGCGGTGTCCAGGCCACGGGCAATAGAGGTGCATCGCGCACGCAGCTGACACGCATACCTATATGAAACCGGCGAGCGCCGATGTCATCCTGGGAGCGAGCGATGCGGGATGTGCCCATAATGGCTGCGTTCCTGGCCGAGGGCCTCCAGGGTGGCAAGGACATCGGGGGACCCGAGGGCATGCCCGGGGCAGGCGGCTTTTCCGCAGCGGCGCGAAGGTCAACAAGCACAACTCCAAGACCTACCACTGTGAACTGCGTGGCGAGATTGCATGGCATCGCGTTCCGAGGGCCAGCGGTTTGGAGCAGCACGCCTTCCTTGAAACTCCGGATCAGCTCTCTGCTGGCAAGGCGCATGTGCGGCCGAAGAAACAAGAGCAATATGTGCGCCATGTGGAAAGCCATAAATGAGATCACCAATCCAAATCCAAGCTGACGGGCGTGTCGAACAAGGAAGTAAACTTGGGGATCATATCTCACCGCGCGTTACTCGATGCCCCAGGCCCAAATTTAATCCCAAGATAGGGAACCCACGAGTCCACCAACAATTGAGTAGCATGTTCCCCATTAGAGATTCAGATATCCCTCAAAATGCACGGCTCCACGCCACTGCAAATCAGGACCTGGCCCTTCTTAACGTGCAGGCAGAGTTAGCAATACTCTTCAGGGGCATCAAAGAGGTCAAAACAGGTCCCAGGTCCTTGACGGCGTTGTCCAAGCTAAAAAACAAGTCGTCCGCATGCACAAGATTAACAATAATGTTGGGTGCGCAACGTTGGCGAAACAATCGGGAAAAAGGTCGGTCGCGAGCGCATGCAGGGGCATGGGCGTTGGGCTGCCAGAGTAGTCCCGTCCGCGTTTTCAGAGCGCACCATGTCAAACAAACGAGCAGTGGGAGAGGGAACGCGAACGCGAGTCATGACGTGAAACAGCCAGAGCGCGGCGGGGATAGGGAAGTCAGACGAGAAGTCGGCGAGGCACAAAGAAGAACATTTACCACCACGCATGTGTTGAATGATCCCAAAAACCTCAGGTTTGACCACGCGCGAAATCGTGCTCGGGGCCGATCAGCGAAGAAGCGCTGCATGCAAGGGGAATCGCGACAACGTTGGCGAGACGTGCAATGGCCGCATTGCCCATGCTGAGTTGTCCGGCAGTCACCGATGGATGGCGAAGGTTCGGGCAAGCAGGCGAATATTTCGGGTCCGTGCCCTTCGGGAGGAACGGAATAGAGTCGAGGCGCATGTCAGCAAACGCGCAGTGGACCTGATCTGTGAACAGTGGGAGGCATGAATCATAGGGGATGCGGGAGTCGTGCTCGTTTTTCCACACCGTATGTGAGATACCATCGGGGTCTGGCCTGATTTGGTAACGTTTCGAGCTAATCCAGTACAGGTTGTAGGGCCACTGTAGGGGACTTGCCACTCGAGCTCAATGGGGCCCGGGGACATTCATGAACGGGTTGATATGGCCCCAAAACCTAATGTTGTCGGACGGGGGGCCTTGAACACATCCGGCCAATAGCTCCGACGGGCTTCACCATGTGCCTCAAGGGCTTCACCATATGCCTCGAAATAATAACAACTGACCCAAACGAATCACATACCGCTTCCAAATAGGCTCGTTTCCGCTAGCGTACCCAGAGTTTTGGTCGGCCGCGAAGGCGAACAACAGATACTTCCCAACCATCCTGTGGTGTAGGGCCCTCGTTCTGATGAGGCAACGCCCCGCGTCCTCCACCTTCTTCCTCCTCCCCCCTCCCTTCCGCCCCTCCTACCACCCCTGCCTCTGCCCTCCGCATGTCCTTATACTCGTCCCCTCCTGTATTTCGTGGCCCGCTAAAGAGCTCCAACTAAGGCCAACATACCAAGGTCCGCATGGCGTCGCCGACTCATTTTCGTGCTCCCATAGGGAGCTCCAATCGCGGCCTAAATACCACGGTCCGCATGGCGTCGCCACCTCATCTCGGCACAGCCCTCACATGTTCCGTGACACCATAGGGCGCTCCAACTATTGCCCAAATTCCAGGGTCCGTACGGCGTCGCCGCGTCATCTCGACATTCCCCTCACACGCTTCGTGGACCCATAAGGAGCTCCAACTGGGGCCTACGGCCTACATGCCAGGGTCCGCATGGCGTCGTCGCGTCATTTCGGCACACCCCTCACCCGCTTCGTGGCCCCATCGGGAACTCCAGCTGAGGCCCACATGCAAAGGTCCGCATGGCGTCGCCGCCTCATCTCGGCACACACACCTCACACGTTTCGTGGCCCCAGAAGGAACATGCCAGGGTTCGCATGGCGTCGCCGCCCCATGTCAGAACCCCTCGCGCGCTTCGCGGCCACATCGGGAGATCAGACTCAAGCCCACATGCCAGGGCCCGCATGGTGTCGCTGCTCAATTTCGGCACGCCCCTCACACATTCCGTGGCCCCATGGGGAGCTCCAACTAAGAACCAAGTTTCAAGGTCCGCATGGCGTCGCCTCCTCATGTCGGCACGCCCCTCCACACGTTTCATGGCCCCACAAAGAGCTCCAACATATGACCACCTGCCACAAACCGCATGGCGTCGCCGCTTCATACCGGCACAACACTCACACGCATCGTGGCCCACCACACGGAACTCCACCGAAAGCCCAAAGCCCAAGGTCCGCACGGCTTCGGTGTTTCATTTCGGCGCACTCCTCAAACATTCCGTGGCCCCGTGAGACATGAGGATCTCCACCAACGGTGCCAGTGCTAGCGCCCTCATGGCGGCACCTCCCCATGTCGACACACCCCTCACATGATTCATGGCCCCTATGGGGCCTTCCCCTTCCTTCGTCCCACCTGCCTTTCGGTACCCACGCCTGCATATGGTTGGGTCCGTCGCCAAGACATCTTTCTGGTCCTCGTCTGCGTCGGATTCCCGAACGAAAATTCCCAAACCCTTAACTTTGTGTATGACGCTTGAATGCGATGGTAGAGGCGATCCGCGGACATATATCCCGCAAGCATCGGAGCGAACTGAGAAGCGAGATATAATTCTAAAGCTCGCTGAATCCGCTACGCTTCACGGAGACGACGGGCTCCGAGCGCAGCAAACGGTCAGTAGTGATTTTCAAAAAAGAATACCGACGCCGCTAGACCGGCAACAGCGTGCTAAGGTCAAGGGTGCGTATTCAAATCCTCCCAGATTCCGTCGTCGAGAAACATACGATTCGGCAAGCATGTCCGATCTGGCGCAAGTCGTTCAGTAGCATTCCAAGGCCGCGCTGACGGCGTGCTTGGTTAACGATGCGATTGGGAATCTTGTTTTTGTGACACCGAGCTCACGCAAAACCAAATCTAGCAAATCACGAAACACCGTTTCCTACATTTTACCTATGCGAATGTACCGAACGCGCACGACACAGCGAGTTGTAGGAAAACACGAACCACGCGTTCCTACAATTGGTTTGGCCACGAACCACGCCTTCCTACAATTGGTTGTCCTAATTCGCCGTTGGCTAACGCACCGTTAGTGCGTCTACGGGCATGTCCCTGGGAAACCAAGAAGCACAAGCTCGCAGGTCTGGTCCTGCGCAGTCCGACGGAGGGAGGCAGACGAGCCCCACGCTGTGGCGGATGAGTGAGGTGACGTCGGTGTCGTGCAGGAGCTCGCATCGGCGATCTGCTTCTCCGTCATCTCCTGGCGCTCGATCAAGCCCTGGATGGATTTATCGATGTCGCCCACTGTAGACTGTAGTGTAGTGCCCGATGCCCCCCCTCGAGCGTCGTCGTCGAACGGGATGTGGCGGGACTGATGGGCAAACTCCTGCTGGGGATAAGTTGACGGTACCCTGCAGCTCCTGATGCCTCGAATCGTATTCACGACTCATCATGGCCATCTGGTGACCGAGCTGGGCACAGCGTTCCATCGAAGCTGTCTTTGATCACACCAAGGTCTGAGCGTTGGTTTGCGACAGCCTGGGATAGAGACTCATTGTTGCCAGTGGGCGGGTCAATATTCGAGCCCGTTGTGGAGCCTGAAGAATGGGGAAACGAACATCAGACGATCGTGCAAGAGAACGGCTGGAAGATGTAGAGCGGGATCGGCTGCGGGGGAGGCGATGAAGAATGTCTCTGCCTCCGATGTCGACTGTGATCCTCGTTCTTGAGTTGGTTCCTCTGGCAACTGTTCGCTCGCTGCCCTTGCGCCCCATGGAAGGTAGCAAACCAGTGGGGCAGGCGTGCAATTGGTTTACGAAGGGAAAATGCAGCAGCGGAACGTGCTTTGGCGCACGACTGGAGAAAAGGAGGTCTGACCCCGTAGAGGACGCTTGAGCAATCCCCTCGGCAACGTCCACGTTCAAAGCGTCAGGAACGCACGTTTCGAACTTGAGCCAACATGTCTACGGAACTCGCCTGGCTATTGCTTTTGGATGGGCTGGTCGGGATACGCGACGCGACAAGACTTCGCCCAGAGATCAAGCCGTCCGAACCCATTGTGCTGCCCCACTGCACTGTAATACAACGTTCCCCCCGACAGCGCAGCGCAAGCGCTGAAGGCCTCGCGTCCAGCTGCCTCACCTGTCGGCGACTCCAAAATGTGTGGATTGCAAAGGGTGTGGTTTGCAACCGGCACCCTGGGGAACATTCTAGGGGACACCCTAGGGGGCGCCCGGGGACCTTGATAGAGTTCTCCCGCGCCCCGAAGAGGCCCGACGAGGACAGTGTCGTGCCCCCCAGGCCCCAACGGTGCCGATCGCAAACCACGCCCCGGCGTATCCATACCCTTTGTAGTCGCCGAACCTGCTCCTCCAGGAAGTGCTTCTTCTGCTTCAGGTGGTCCACGTTCCTCTCGGGCCGGGCGAAAGGGGGGGATAGCAAAAGGGGGGGGGGTGAGAATCAGCTCACCTATAGCTGATTTGCCCGGCGCCTCCCGGCGCTTGGGGGCGCCCATGTATCGAGGAAGGGGCCCCTCGGTGAGACCGAAACCAGCTGCATGCAGCAGATTTCGTACCCCCCGCTTTCCCAATCTCCCCCTTTCTCGGGCGTTGGTAGAACTGGGTTTAGTGGAACCTGGTTAAGTGATCTGTACCGGGGGCGCCCCCCTGTCCCATTTCCACTAACCGGAACTGCCGTTACCCGAAAAAACACCAGCTATGGCAAACCTGGTTTAGTGATTCTGGCCAATTCGAAGGCTCCGGGGCCCTACCACTAACCCGGTCCCCTTACCCGGGGTCTTGGCCATACCCGACTTTCGTCCGGCCCGATCCTCTTCAAGTAGCGGACGTCGTCCACCACGTCGGGCGCCGCGTGCGCGGGCTGCCTGCCGGCTGCGTGCGCCTCTGCGGCCGCGGGGGCCCGGTGGGCGCCCTGCGCCGCCGCGTACTGGTGCTGCTGCAGCTGCATCTGCGCCAGCGCGTCGGCCGCACCCTTCGAGCCCAGCCTCTGGGGAGGCCAAGAGGATCCTCCTCCTCCTCCTCCTCCTCCTCCTCCTCCTCCTCATCCGTCTCCTCCTCCACCTCCTCCTCCTCTTCCTCCTCCTCCTCCTCCGCCTCCTCCTCCTCCTCCTCATCATCATCATCCCAAATCGATGCCGCTGCTCCCCGGTCCTCTCCAGGGGTGCGCTCTGACCATGAATCCTACCCCAGCCCTCTGGGCGTAGGTGGTTTAGCGTGTTTTCTCGTCCATCTCTGCCTCCTCCCCTTCGGGGAGGGGTTCCCCCCCCCCCCAGCCCCTGCCCCCCCCGTGGACCTGGACGGGGCGCCCGGCGACCCATTGGAGCGTCCAAGATGGCCTAAGATGGCTCCAAGAGGGCCTCAGAGAGCCCAAAAGGTCCTCCAAGATGGCTCAAGCTAGCCTCCAACGTGATCCGAGAGGCTCCAAGACTGCCCCGTCACGGCTCCAGGTGGCCTCGGAGCACCCCCAAAAGAGCACGCAAAAGGCACACGTCCTCCCAAAACCTATGGGGCATCAACGTGTTTTGCTGTCTCGCCTTTTCGCTTCTGATGGCTTTTCGTCGAGGCGTCAAGATGGACCCAAGCTGGCCCAAGAGGGCCCCTAGAGAGGCCCAATAGGGCCCCAAGACGGCCCCAAGAGCGACCAAGAGCGCATCAAGAGGGCTCCAAGAGGCGACTTTGGGTGCTCCAGAGGGGCGATGCTAATCAAAGCTCCCACCTTCTTTGAGCGACCTCCTCCAAGATGGCCTCAAGAGGGCCTCCAAGGTTTCCAAGAGATCCCCAAGAGGCCCCCAGGAGGCCCCTCAAGAGGCCCCTAAGCGGTCCCCAAGACGCCCCAAGTGGCCTCCCAGGAAGCCCCCAAGAAGCATCCTAAGATACTCCGAGAGGCATCTCAGAGGCCTCTGGCCTTCTGCTCGCCCTCCTCCTTCTCATTTGCCTCTTCTCGCCTTCTCCCTCCTGCTCATCCATGCCCTCCTCCATCCCCCTCCTCCATCCCTCTCCCCCTCCCCCTCCTCCTCCTCCTCCTCCTCCTCCTCCTCCTCCTCCGCCTGCTCCTCCTCCTCGAAAGGTAACAGCTGCCCCCCCTCTCTTGCTCCTACACTTCCCTGGCCACCTCAACTCAACTGGGCCACGTTTCTGGATGGGCTGGATGGGCCACGTTTTTTTTGCCGCAACCGCAGGCGAAGGCGCCAGCGGCGAGTCGAGTCGGCTCGGGCTACGAGCGGAGCAAATTGCCGGCGCGCGCGCAAGAAACAGCAGGACCTACCGCCAGGGGAAGCAGCTGCGCCGAGGGCCGTGCTGCAACCGCTGAGGCTGAGAAACAGCGCCGGGGGTGGGAACTGGAAGCTGCCGGGGCTGCCAGGAAGCTGCAACCGTGCGGGTACCCCGGGAGCTGGATCACCAGGTACGCGAATTGGACCTTGTCGCCATAGGGCGCCAGAGGTCGGCGCGCCACCGACGTGGCGAAGCGCAGGACTGCGTGACAGCCCAGCGTGTGGCAGCGGACCGACGGGAGACGCGCATGGTCGTTCAAGAAGGCTGAACCACTCCTGAGTGAACCGGCGGTCCAGAATCCCGAAGGGCCAGCAGCACCGACAGACACGGCCAGCTGTGGGGCTGGCGTCAACAATTTCGAGGCGAACCCAGCGTTGGCGACGAGGGCCTCCCAGAGGCACCAAAACAGGAAACGAGGGAAGTGTAACGAGTTCGGTACGGTTGCGGTCGGACCTAAGATATACTAACATCCTTCAAGAACATGAGACCCTCCGCCAGCCAACACACACCGAACACGCAAGGGCACCCTGCCCCAGGATGCGCAAGAGCATCCAGCAGACACGAAGAACCGTAGGGCACCCTCCCCGAACCGACCTCGATCTCATACCTCGGGCCGACCGCAATCACTCGGGGATGGACAGAACCCCCTTTAGCAAAACGTGGTTTAGTGAAAACGACCTCGGGCCCAAACCCGGCGGGCGCAAGCCTGGAAAATAACGGCCACGACGCCCTCTCGAAAGCCGAAAACGGACAATTCACTAATCGACGTGTCACTGTTGGGGGTTCTGTCCAGCCCCGAATCACCTCTTCTCCCTCTGAGCCTCGACCGCGGCGGCTCCGGCGACGGGTCCATGCGGTGGCCGCTGCCGGCGCTGCTGGGCAGGCTCGGAGCGAGCGCCTGCTGCGGCCGCGGCGAGGGCGACACCGGCCGCACCCGCGGCCCCTGCTTGGCGGCGCGCAGAGGGGGGGTAGGGGGAGGGGGGAAGGCTTCTTAGGAGGGGGCTGCTCCTTGGAAGGCGCCGGCCGTGCATCTACAGAGAAGGCCAGCACCCCCTTAAGAAGCAGGGGTGCTTCTGAGAAGCCTTCCCCCCTCCCCCTACCCCCCTCTACGCGCCGCCAGCCTGCGCGCCCTGCGGCGTGTCGGCGAAGCCGGCGGCGTCTCTGCTCCGGTGCGGCGAGTCCAGGCCGACGGGCACCCTCTTGGCGGGCGTCGGCTTCGCCGGCGTCGACGCGCTGGGCGCCGCCTCGGCCCTCGGCGCGGCGCGGGCGGAGGAGCTGGCGCTGGGCACGTAGGTGGAGGAGCTGAGCGAGGCGCGCGCCTCGGCCAGCCCCGCGGCCCTGCCGGCCAGCGAGCCGGAGCCCACGGGCGCCGTCATGGCCAGCGCGTCCGGGCGGCCCCCGAGGGCGGCCCCCGGCGGGTAGCCCTGGTCGGAGGGCCGCCGCGACATGGCCAGGGCGGAGGGGTCCTGTTAGAGGGCAAAGAGGCGAATGCGGGATGACGATCAATATACAAAATGGGAGAGAACGACTAAACACATAGTTTTCTGCTATGTCTGCACAATTTTGTGACTGGAGGAGAACGATTCAAAAATAGTTTTCCAGCCCGCGGCCGGTTTTTTCTAATCGTCATCCCGGGCGCCGCCGCGTGAACACGACCCCCGGTCATTTATTACTCGTCATCCTCCATTGCCCCCGGAATAACCGCCCCGACACGCGAAGTCGTTCAGCAAACGCGCCCAGAAGGAGTCGAACAGGGCAGGGCTGTCCAGGGAACGCCCAGGCCGGTTTCTTAGTGAACGCCAGTGGTCCGGTCTGGGTGGTATTTCTTTCCTCCCTTGGCCTGTGCCTCCACGGGCATGGGCCCCGTGTAGGCCCTGCGCAGCTGAGGCTGGCGGTGCGCGTCGCCGCCCGGCGCGCTGACCGGCCCCGAGTGGACGGTGCGCAGGGAGGGCTGCAGGTGCGCAGCATCGGCAGCCAGCTCGTAGTGCATGGCCTGCGGCGCCCCACGAGCCAGGCTCAGGTCGGGCATGTCCCCCCACAGGCGGATCTTGGACAAAAAAAAAATGGTCGAACAGTACCCCCAAATAGTCAGAACTTCTGAAACAGAAATCGTCCCCAGACTATTTTTGGACCATGTTTGAACATTCCTCCTGTAGAGGGACGCGCCCGAGCTAAACCCAGATCCCCCTCGCGCGGTGAAGCAGAACATGGCAGGAGGTGCTGCACTGTTTGTTCCGTGTGAGTGTGTGTGTGTGTGTGTGTGAGTGTGTGTGTGTGTGTGTGTGTGTGTGTGTGTGTGTGTGTGTGTGTGTGTGTGTGTGTGTGGGGGGTGCGTGGGTGCGAGGGTGCGTGGGTGTGTGGGTGTGTGGGCGTGTGGGTGTGTGGGCGTGTGGGTGTGCGGGTGTGCGGGTGTGGGTGCGTGGGTGCGTGTGTGTGGGTGCGTGGGTGTGTGGGGGGTTGCGGGTGTGCGGGTGTGCGGGTGTGCGGGTGACTCCTGGGCGCCCTCGCCGGGCCCCGGGACCGTCCAGCAAAGATACTCATCCCTGAGGGCTTGACGACTTGTCGCCAATCGACTTGTGGGGATCGAGCCAGATGAATCCAGATAAATGCAGACAGATCTAGGCAGATGCAGATGAATCCAGGAAAATCCAGGTGACTCCGAATAAATCCAAAAATAAACCCAGAGACCTTCAGGGACAGCTGGAGCAAATTGCGGCCGCCCTAGCGCGAGTCGAAGGACGGCAGACGTAAACCTTTCACGAACTCGGAGTGAAGCGCCAGGCCCGGGAAATGGGCCGACACCTCTGGGGGCCGACGCTGTGAGCGCATCATCGGGAGGTGGGCATTTATACATCTCCACCGCCTGGGAACCGACGTCCTGGTGAGCTCGACCCCCTCGGCGGTGATTATGGATAAATCCCTACCTCGGAATCATGGTGTCCTGGGCCCTAACGGCAATGCTGATCAACGGGGATGCGTGTAATCTGCTTTTTGCGGCGCCGAACCCGCGCAGAACAGAGTGTTGGAAAGCACGAGCAGCACTCTCCTGCACCTGGGTTGGCCACGAACCACCCCCGCCCTCTCCTGGAGTCCCCAAAAACGGATCGCGGGGCGCCAGGAAGGCCTTCCGACACCTCTCCGAGGATCTCTGGAAACCCTTGGAAGGAGCTTCGGAAGGAGCACCTGGAACGGGAGGGGGAGGGGGAGGAGGCGGAGGAGGAGGAGGAGGCGGAGGAGGAGGAGGAGGAGGAGGAGGAGGAGGAGGAGGAGGAGGAGGAGGAGGGGGAGAAGGAGGAGGAGGAGCTGAGCAGCACACGCCTCGGGAAGCAGCTCGCAGAGGCCCTCTGGGGCCCGCTGCGGGTTCGGGCAGGTCGCCGCGGGGACTCTGGACCGCCGCTGGAACGAGCTCCTGGGGCCACCCTGCGGTGTCGGCCTCTGGTCTCAGAACCCTTCTAGCTTTATGTCGGGCGTGTCCCCCTACAGGGGGATTCTCGACGAAAAATAGAACATACCCCAAACATTACCCTGGCGACGTACCCAACCCCTGCGCAAACGCGGGGCGCAAATAGTTGAGGACACTTTATAAGGGGGGCGATGACGGAGCGACGGTTGCATATGTCTGCAGACGGAATTCGGGAGACTCGGGAATTCGGAATTCGGAATTCGGGAATCTGCGTGTGGCGTCACTGTGCTGGGCCCCCTAGCAGACCTCGAAAGTGGCGACAGTTTCACAGATCGCAGCCCCCAGGGATGGCGAGGTCTAGTTTGGGTCCGCGCGTGGCGTCACTGTGCTGGGCCCCCCAGCAGGCTTCGAAAGTGGCGACAATTTCACAGATCGCAGCCCCCCAGGGATGGCGAGGTTTTTTTTTGGGTCCGCGCGTGGCGTCACTGCGCTGGGCCCCCCCAACAGGCCTCGAAAGTGGCGACCGTTTCGCAGATCGCAGCCCCCCAGGGATGGCGAGGTCTAAGTTGGGTCCGCGCGTGGCGTTATTGTGCTGGGCCCCCCAGCAGGCCTCGAAAGTGGCGACAGTTTCACAGATCGCAGCCCCCCAGGGATTGCGAGGTCTAATTTGAGTCCGCGGTGAGTACCCACTGTGCTGGGCCCCCCAGCAGGCTTCGAAAGTGGCGACAGTTTCAAAGATCGCAGCCCCCCAAGGATGGCGAGGTCTAGTTTGGGTCCGCGCGTGGCGTCACTGTGCTGGGCCCCCCAGCAAGCCTCGAAAGTAGCGACAGCTTCGCAGATCGCAGCCCCCCGCAGGCAAGACAGGAGGAGGCAGGCAGGAGGCATGGGGGGAGGCTGGAGGAGACGCGCGAGCAGTGCTCTATTTAAAACGAATGCCCAACCAAGGAGGGTTGAGAATAAAGCAGGAAGCAGGACGCAGGAGGAGGGAGGGAGGCGGGATGAAGGAAGGTGGAGACCACAGTCCCTTATTCAAAACTAATACCAAACCAAGGAGAGTTAGGATAATAGAAAAAGTACTACTACGGCGGCGACGACGCCAACGACGTCCAGCGCGAGCGCCGAACGTCCTGCTCCTCATGCGCCTCCTCCTCCTCCTCCGACTCCGCCGCCTCCTCCTGCCCCGCAGCCCCCCTGCAACGTACCCAACCCATGTGTATCAAGTGGCAAGAGTAGCTGGCCAACATGCGGTGGGTACCCACTGTGCTGTGCCCCTCAGCAGCCCTCGAAAGTGGCGACAGTTTCACAGATCGCAGCCCCCCCAGGGATGGCGAGGTCTAATTTGAGTCCGCGGTGAGTACCCACTGTGCTGGGCCCCCTCAGCAGCCCTCGAAAGTGGCGACAGTTTCACAGATCGCAGCCCCCCAGGGATGCGAGGTCTAATTTGAGTCCGCGGTGAGTACCCACTGTGCTGGCCCCCCAGCAGCCCTCGAAAGTGGCGACAGTTTCACAGATCGCAGCCCCCCAGGGATGGCGAGGTCTAATTTGAGTCCGCGGTGAGTACCCACTGTGCTGGGCCCCTCAGCAGCCCTCGAAAGTGGCGACAGTTTCACAGATCGCAGCCCCCCAGGGATGGCGAGGTCTAATTTGAGTCCGCGGTGAGTACCCACTGTGCTGGGCCCCTCAGCAGCCCTCGAAAGTGGCGACAGTTTCACAGATCGCAGCCCCCCAGGGATGGCGAGGTCTAATTTGAGTCCGCGGTGAGTGCCCACTGTGCTGGGCCCCTCAGCAGCCCTCGAACGTGGCGACAGTTTCACAGATCGCAGCCCCCCATGGATGGCGAGGTCTAATTTGAGTCCGCGGTGAGTACCCACTGTGCTGGGCCCCTCAGCAGCCCTCGAAAGTGGCGACAGTTTCACAGATCGCAGCCCCCCAGGGATGGCGAGGTCTAATTTGAGTCCGCGGTGAGTACCCACTGTGCTGTGCCCCTCAGCAGCCCTCGAAAGTAGCGACAGTTTCACAGATCGCAGACCCCAGCAGCCCTCGAAAGTGGCACAGGGATGACCAGGTAGGAGGCAGGCTGGCACGCAGCGACGAGCGAGGTAAAAGGCAGGGGGGAAGGAGAGAAGGAAGAAGGGAGGGAAGGAGACGCGCGAGCAGTGCTCCATTCAAAACGAGAACCCAACGCAGGAGGGTTGGGAATAATCCAAAAATAGTCCAAAAATAGTCCAGGGACTATTTTTGGATTTTCTTTTGACTATATGAGAATAGTTTTGCAGTATTTTTGCCTACCTAGGCTCTGCCTAGAAGGGTTCTTACTCTCTAGCTTACATAAAGGGGCTGGGCAGTGGAAAGCGCCCCGGGCGGTTCCCCCAGTCCCCGCCACGCGGTTCCCCCCAGTCCCCTGGGAGCTTTAGCTTTAGCTTTAGCTTTAGCTTAGCTTTAGCTTAGCTTTAGCTTAGCTTTAGCTTAGCTTTAGCTTAGCTTTAGCTTAGCTGTAGCTTAGCTTTAGCTTAGCGTTTCGCTTAGCTTTTCGCTTAGCGTTTAGCTTAGCGTTAAGCTTAGCGTTAAGCTTAGCGTTAAGCTTAGCTTTAGCTTAGCTTTAGCTTAGCTGTAGCTTAGCTTTGGCTTAACTTTAGCTTAGCTTTAGCTTAGTTGTGTCTTAGCTTTAGCTTAGATTTAGCTTAGCTTTAGCTTAGCTTTAGCTTAGCTGTTTCTCAGCTCTAGCTTAGCTTTAGCTTAGCTTTAGCTTAGCTTCAGCTTAGCTTCAGCTTAGCTGTGGCTTAGCTGTGGCTTAGCTTTAGCTTAGCTTTAGCTTAGCGTTACTGTTACTACTAATGCTGCTTTCCTAGGGGTTCCAACTCCTAGGTAGGGTCGCACTGGGATAATTGGTTTTTCGTCGAAAGTCCCCCTGTAGGGGGACAGGCCCGACATAATTCTAGCTTTCTGCAACCTATACACCGCCGTGACCTACGTCACCGCCAGTGGGGAAGCCAAGATGCACCCATACCGCTGCTCCCCGGACCTCTCCCGGTGCGCGTTCTGACCAGGATCTCGAGGCGAATGCAGCGGTGGCGACGAGGGCCGCCCAGGAGGCCCAAAACGGCGAAAACGGGGGAAGGGTAGCAGTATGGGTACCCAGACATGCGACGTCCCGATTTTTTCAGGACGGCGTCCCCAGAATTCCCGACCCGTTCCCCAGGACCGGCTTTTTGTCCCGAGTCGTTTTCTGACGGCCCCAGGGCCCGGCGAGGGCCCCCCGGGGCTGAAAATAACAAACAAACAAATTGCCGCCCAGACGTTTTGTTACGACGCGAGCATGTCTGGGCACCTTCTCCTCCTCCGGGTCAGCGTGTCTACGGGCCCTATATGGGGACGTCCCGCAGCCACTGGCCCCCCGCCTCGCGAACTGTGCGGCCGAGCGCCCGCCTTCCGCGCCGTCGCTAGGGGGCCACATGCGAACCCTGCCCCTACCCCCCCCCCCGATTTCTGAGGGGGAGGGTGGGGTTCACTTCGCTCGGGAGCTCCCGAATGAAATGAATCCCACCCCTGGCCATCGCTCGGACGTCCATTCTTTGTGTTTTTTCTGTTTC